TATCATTTTGTAGGCAGGTTGTTGTTCGTGTTTGGTGTGCTGCAAAATGTTGAGTGGCGCGCAACAAGTGGCCCATTTATCTTTAGCAAATATTACCTACACGCACAATACAAATCCAGTGAATCCAGTCGAATACAGTTCGTTGCTGCTGCCGCTGCTGCTGCTACATTCATATGTGAAACACGATTTTTCACCATTTACACTGTTGTTTGCTGCAGACGCTAACCGTATTCTGTGTAGTTCATCATTGTTATTCACACGTCGGAGAGAGGGAGAGAGAGCACAACGACCCTTTGCTTCCGTTCCTTTGCACATGAAACATTTATTAGACATATTATTTTTATGAAATCCAATTGAGTTGAATACCAAAAGCTCTTGTTCTCTCACTCTACTCTCGTGCTCCCGAAGTGAGAGCTTCGAGTGGTGGTGGCGGCAAGTGAGATATATATATGTGTGTGTATTCACTCGATAGTGTATTATCTGCCATTTCAATGGGATAAATTGGCGTGAGCACATTCACTTCATGAGCAGATTATCGGTCATCCAGCACACCATACACACTTGAACATTTTATTCAATGCGTTATGAGCTGTTAAGTAACAATGAAGAGTTTAAATTCATGAGAGCATTCAACATTTTCCGAAACGCTTTCATCGCACATTCCGATTCATTTGGTTTTTATTGTTCAATTTTCACCTTTTATGCCATAATCAGATTGCAATTTCTAATCTATTTCCAAGAAGAAAACCAAATTTGGAAAATCAAGTGGTAAATCCTGAATCGAATGCTACATACTATGAGCGAGCAAGCAAACAAATCATCCGAGAAAATGGCGAAAATATACGCATATTCTTTGAAAGTATCAATTCCTTGTGCGTTATTGCCGAATCTGTTCAAAACGGTATTCAACTACTTTACAATGGATGACAAGGATGAGGTTTATCAATTGCCTTTTCAAATTTGGTAATTTCAACTATTGACTGACCTGATGGTCAGCAATTATTGATATTTGAATTACACACAAATTAAAATGAAGTGTTAAATCGATACTTGTTGCTGAATTCATTCTTTAGTGTTTAAATTTTTTTTTTATTCAAGGTCGATACAAAAACACCGATAGGATACTTGATTTACTATTGGAATGAATTTGTAGCTTGTTATCTCATGGTTTTATTTTTCGCTTGCTTTTTGCGCCTTCTGGTCGGATCGTGCAAGATGTTAATATCATTTGCGATGGACATCAAAAAGGACATTCTTGCGCTGAACGAAATCAACCAAAATAAAGAAGAACGCTTGAAAATCGCCGTTCGAATTGCTAAAATTATCGAATTTCATTCGACCGTCAAAGAGTTGAGTGTAAATTGAAAAGATGCTAAACAAAAACTTATACTAATAATTGAGTTTTATTGGCATATACGTGAACTGGTGCAGATTTACAAGTGTTTAATAATAATGATATGTTTCTTGTGGAGCATTGTTACCATCTGTGCTATACTTCTCAGTGTTCAAAAAGAATTAGTTGAGTATAATATAATGATTTCATACTATCTTCAAATAAATGTTCTATTTTTAGTTTTTTCTCAGTCGCATATCGCTGAAAATAAAAATTCGATGGGACTAATTCAATCGCTAACTTTGGCATTTTGGTCGTTCGCATACAAAATTTCTCCATTTGTAACTATGGCCAACCAATTCGACGAGCTAAATGATTAACTCTATTATGGATGTGATTCGTATGCTTTCCCAATTAAGGTTCAACGCATGCTACCGACAATTTCGATTGCCACCCAACAGTCAGCTATTCTGAAAGCATTTGGTAACATCCCATGTACAGGAATTGCCACATTCAAAGGGTACAACAGCGCCAGTTGAAATAAATCACATTCTCGCATTCTCGCCATCAAAAAAAATGAACACATTAAGAATAAAAAAATATTTCCATCATGGAATTCGAACCTTTGCCCACTCATTTGCCAAGCGCATTCACTACCAATTTAGCTGTCTGTGATTAATTTCAACTGGCGCTGTTGTACCCTTTGAATGTGGCAATTCCTTGCACACACTTCGTTTTTTTGCGTTCATTGTGTGTGATCACGTTGGTGTGCGGAAACACGATTGTGCATGAAACATTCAGTGTGATGACAACCGATTGTCAAAAAATGAAAACAAAATCAGAAATCGTTGCAAATCGTATCGTGTAATAGCCGAAGAAGGCTAAACAAAAAATTCAAAAAGCCTTTTTTTCGTGTTACAAAGATGATTCGAGATGATTGTTGTTAAGAATTCAATGTTTTGTGCCATTTGGAATTTAGATTCAATTCACTGTTCACTGCTGCAACACATTTGACGAAAATTTAATAAAAACAATCAAAAAGATTTATTTCTCACTAATTATACGTGTTTGGTGTGTTTTATCACTCTTCAAATGCCCTGTTAGCGGCTTTTTTCCACTGAATTCAAATTTACCTACCGAATAAAAACATTGATGGTAATTCAAAATTTTACCTCCAATGAAAAAATTACTTCGGCAATTTGTTATTTTGCCGTACTACTTCTGACGGTTTGCCTACTTCAAATTGTGAGAGCATGTGTTTTTAATATGCGTTTTGAGTCTAAAATTCTAGTCAACTTATTTCTTCATGGATTAAACTTCGTAATTGACTTAGATCAACAAACCGATTAACTCATCTGTATTAGTCAATGGGTTAACAGTCTGAGAAATAGAAATTCGTTGTTTTTAACACGTAAATGGATGAGAATTCACAAAAATATATCGAACAGTATATACCCACTCTAATTCAATGTACTATCTTGCTCTCTAGTTGAAGTGGTAAATAAAATGCTCTCACACGGAAAAAAATCGGTGAATTTGCTTTATTTAAGGGATGTGACACCAAATTAAAGATTAAAATGCTTCGGTGCGAAAAAAAAAGAAATCCTTAAAAATGTTGCTTTGAAGAAACTTGCACAGAATTCGATGCGACAAAGATGTGAGTGTCTGTCGAAGCAAAGTGACTGTAAAACGGTGAGTTCTTAAAAAAGGGAAAAAAAGTCATGGTAAAAGTTGTTTGGATGCTAAGTCCATTAAACAATATAAAAGGAAGAAAAATATGGAGCACAACAACCCTTTTCATTTGGAGACAAGATTGGAATCGTGTTTATCGCAAATAGTCGATAGCCAGCGGTGGTTTTGCGTTTTTCATTGTTTAAAGCTGACGCCATTCTTCTGTTAATGTGCCCAGCCATAAAAAAACAGTGTATGTTCCGTGACCATTCAAAAATGAGAACAACAGTCA